AAATATTTTTTAGCGGGGGCCGAACTCCGTCAGGTTCCGACCCCGAATGTCGTACATACAAAAGGGTAACACCACGTACGTGTAGTATCGAATAAATAATTTTTTTTGTGTATCACACCTCTCCTGATCACCTATATGGAAATGTGCGCTGCCTTGTCTAAAGTTATGAAACAAGACAGAGGATATGAAACCCAATCGTGACAAGCCTTGGGGGTAATTCACAACTCGATACCGACCTTTGTTAGTCTTGATAAAACTTGGTATTTCGTGGCAGAAAATAAATGTTTGAAAAAAACAGTAACCTTTTGGCTCGCGGTGGCGCCTGACGTACAATTGCTTTATTTTATGTTATGGGAGGTTGCATCTCATTCTCAATAGTTGCATATCCTCACTAATAGATGAGATCCATTTTTTTAAGGAAGTCAGTTACTGAAGTGTGCTCTTATCATTTTCACGAGAGGTCTTCCGAAGTTCGAATAATTGAAAAAAAAAAGTAAAGGGAAGTTGGTGGTGAGTGTGGCCAAACTAGCACCGGGTGGAGGGCATGGTCGAACCAGTGTGACATATGTGGTGGTGGTTAGTCGTCAAACTTCGCCTTTACAAATCCGATCGTCGTAGTTAATGAGGACAACGAATCTTTATCTAATAGATAAGTTAAAACATGAATAAATAACTTTGGACAAAATTATATATAATATAGATCTAAAATGTTTCTCTTGAGAGTTGCGAACGACAGAGAGTCCGTTAATAAGTTGGTTGAGACCTTAGTTGAGTAGTTCTCATCAAAACAAAAAATAATTGGGGTGGCGATCCAAAAAAATATTAAAAGTAAGGGAATGGTGACAAAAAATTACGATAGATTTAAAAATAAAGAAATCACCACCAACCAATTATTTTTTAAAAGCGCATTAATGATTTTGGTTAAGAGAACAAAATACCATTAAGGATTCATAACGCCTTCTTAGAACCACCTATGAATCGATATGAAGGGATCCACCTTTACATTTAATCACATAACCCATTATCTAATTGTCACAATTGTAATTAAAATGTATAAAAATTTCAAAAATATAATGCCAACAAATGAATGAAAACACATAATGAAAGTTGGGTTAGACTTCTTTAGGTTGAGTTCCTGGAACGACTAAAAGAAAGGGAACGATGACAAAAAAATTACGATAGATTTAAAAATAAGGAAAGCACCACCAACCAATTATTATTTAGAAGGGCATTAATGTTTTTTGTCTAGAGAACAAAATACCATTAAGGATCCGTAACGCCTTCTTAAAACCACCTATGAATATATATGAAGGGATTCACCTTTATATTTAATTACAAAACCCATAATCTAATTATCACAATTGTAATTTAAAATGCATAGAAGATTGAAAAAAGATAATGCCAACAAATAAATGAAAACACATAACGAAAGTTTGATTATACTTCTTTTGGTTGAGTACCTTGAACGACTGATCCTAGCCTATCACGTTTTCTTTGTTGTTTCCTTTTTTTTCTTCATTGATTCTTTCTACTTTTGTCCTTTATTAAATTCAAAAACAAACTTAACTTCTTACTCAATAAGTTGTAAGTATCTAACAAATATTCGGAGTAAAAACAAATTGAAAAATTTTCATGTTGGTCAATTTCACGACGACCCAACCACGTCTAAAAACATTTTTGTTTGCACGCTTTACTATCAATCACTCATTACATGATCTCTACACCTGCTCGTGCCAGAGAGAAGACAGATCACGATTTTTGTTGTTGTCAGACACGTGATGACACCAATATGAGATCAGTGTGCACACATTCGGACCACTACTATTAACAAAATCACAATTACTACTCTCATAAATAGATACGACCAATCATGCCCACGAAATAACTTCACAAAAAATCAAACAACTTGCCATCAGTTGAAATAAGTTGTTCACAAACTTTGTTTTTAAGATAGTTGGAGATATAGATCGTAGTCGCGAGCAAAATTGTGCCACTTGCATAGATAAGCCACATACGAGAGAGGTTATACGAAGTACTAGGAACCCTCCCGACATCTTTGTTGCTTGCGTGATCCTACACACCTATAAATTTTGAAGCCATTATGCTAAGCCAAAAAAACATTAAAACTCGTCAAAGATGGGGGTGTCAAAACGTGCTCACCCACTCACTATTTTGTTTTTTTTCACTTCAACTTTTTTTTTTAACTTTATTTCGGGGCCTAAAAAAAATTATTATTTTTTGAAAATTTTTTAATGCGTTATTGATTATGTAAACTCCATATTTGTAAATTTCCAGGGCATTTGTCAATGCAAAAATAATTAAAAATTGACAAAGATGGCGGTGTCGAAAAGGTGCTGGCACACTCACTCATTTTAATTCTTTTTCTTTTTTCTTATTTTTATCATAGTATTTATTTTCTGTATTTGATTTGTAATTCAAGTTTGGTAAAGAATTTGGATGTAGTTCCCAGACAAATGTTGTTTAGTTTATTTTTCTCCATAACATTTTTTTTTCAATTTTTTTTGAAAACTTTTTTTTTTTTTTTTTTTTGCGTTCGGCCCGAACGGTCGAATGCCTTCCGAAGGGGTCCCGTACGTTCGGGCGTTCGGCCCGTCTTGAACGCCGACAATCCTGGTGTCCTCATCATATAAATGTTGGGAACGGTAACCATGCTGTAGTTCATACTCAGACGCTTTTACTCACTTTTTCATCTGGTTCCTTTTTTAGTATTGTTGGATATGATGCAGGTCAATACGACGAAGGAGGTTGGTGCCATATAAAACAGCGTGTTAGTGTTTCTGATAAAATCTTTGCACAAATGAAGATTCATTACGATGTTTCAGTCGAGAAAAAAAAAAAAAAAAAAAAAACCTAAGAAAAATAAAAGAGAGGCACAAGAGAAGGAGGAGGGACAATAACTTCACCTAAAAATTGTATAAGCAAAATAAGGTTTGCAAAGTTTTGCTAATTAAAAAAAATTAAAAACATAACAACTAGAAAATAGAGTCACTAAGAGACGGGATCAAGTTACTGAAATGGGTGAAGTTTAAAGTTAGTACTTCGGCTACTACGATGGGTCTTAGTACCTATAACCACAAAGTGGTCTGTAATTGTTGAAGAAACAAGAAAGTATACGACTGAAACAAGAGGGAGTTGTGCTGGAAAAACGACAGTTAGACAACACGGAGAAAAAGTTGAATGCATTACACCAATCAAGAAACAAGGCATGGACTGAAATTGAAGCATGGCGAGTGAAGGCTCTACAGTTAGGAAACAAGCGGTGTTGTATCACAGTAACACTTGACACGCAGGAAAAGTCCCAATCACGCCTCACTCCGCTCAAATCATCTGATGTTGATTGCAACAGCTTAGTGCATCGACACTCCTTGGAGGTGAGCAACATGATATAATTATGGTTGCGATAAGTGAACGTTCGTTGGGAGGCATAACGGGCTTTGAAAGAAGGTCAATCAGACTATTGCTTGAAAGGAGGCAGAAATCATGCAGTCTATTCCATACAAAAATCTACGTCGAATAATAAAAAAACTGAAAGTTTGCTCTTAGGTTGGGAATAAACCTACTCCGACTAAGCTCGATGACAAAAAGGTTTTTGTGAAGGAAACCAAAAAGGCACCGACTCCACTAAAGAAGTATAACATCATCAAAACTTGTAGAAAATAAGGTATCAAGTATTTGATGTTCGAAAAAACAGTTTAAGAAATTATTGTTTACCGTGTGACAAAGGTTTTTCCATCTATAGAAACTGACATGATCAAGGAGAAATAAGCTGTCTAACCTTAGACTAATGTTATACAAAATCGAACTCAGGTCTTATAGTACGTAAAATGACTCCATCATTCAAAACAAACTAACAACGACCCTTTGGACAAAGGGCGTTGTCCAAAGGGTCGTTGTTAGACACGCCTTACGACTTCCTCGAGTTCTGAGGACGTTTCTTAAAGAAACTTGAGGCATTTTTGCGCCGCTGTTCCACCTATTATCGGAGTGTTGGCTTTAGGACTAGTCCTAAGAGTGATGTCAGAAAGAAAAGAAAAACAGTTGTGCTTTAGGCTTTCAGCCAATAGGGTGCCACCACGATCCGGATCGTAGGTTGTAAAGGACCACTACGTGCATGCCCTGTCCTGTCCGTGAAACATGGGCTCGAAGGGACCTCATGAGGTGTATTAGAGCCAGCCAAGGACGAAATGGCTGGGAAATCCTTGGAGCCCAAGGATTCGTCCTCGGAGTGTTTTCACATTTTCATTTCCGGTTTTATCTCCGCGGACAGGTGGATGGAAGGACAACAAAATCCTTGGAATAACATCCCCGAGGAGTGTCTAACCAGGTCCAAACACACAACAAGGACCAATAGGTACTACCTATGGATCCAACACTGGAACAAAATAGTAAGGAACACTCGATTTAGTGGGGTCCCCCTACATAAGCAACCTACCTACTAATTTGAGAGAAGAATACAGTGTAGTTAAAAAACAGAAAAACTACTTAAAAAAAGACAAAACTACACTATGTTCTTCTGTCAAATTAAAGACAAACTCTTTTTTTTTTTTTTTTTTTTGGCGGGAAGTTCCCTGAGCAAATTTTGGTGGGAAATACGTGTAAAATAACACTGCCCGTCCTGGGATGATGAGTCATTCATTGCAGGGCAGATTTGGGCCACTCTACTGCCACACAAACTATTCTATATCCCAGCCACTTGTTCTGGACTTCCCTCGGCGTCCCGTGGGCACAGATGCAAGATGGGCGTTTTCCCTGGGCACACGGTCAATTTCCATCTTTGAAGTGGGTACATGAGAAGTATGCGTGTGGAAAAAAAAGCGATTTCTGCGAAGTTGACAGTATCGGGCCCCTCTCTTCATCTTCATCGCATAGATATTCTGAAATAGAAGGTAGGCCGATGGTCCTTGTCTGGCCGGTGAGGAGAAGCGCCGGGAGCGAAGGCAGGTAGTCTAAGCTTAGGACGACGTGTCTGCGAATTGAGGGGTGGCTGGAGCACGGCGGGGAGACCCAGCGAAGAGGTATCGGCGACTTCAAGGGAACCAAGGTCAGCAGCGATGGCGGAAAACGGACAGGCGAAGATTATCGATGGGAAGAAGATCGCGGAATCAATCAGAGCAGAGGTTGCAGAAGGCGTGACAGCACTCAAAGCCCAAACCGGGAAGGTATTGTCCGCTTGCGTGCGCAGAGGGGGGGGCGCACACGGAGAGAGAGAGAGAGAGAGAGAGAGAGAGAGAGAGAGAGAGAGAGAGAGAGAGAGAGAGAGAGAGAGAGAAAGAGAGGATTGGTATGCGTGAAGG